GTGCAACATGCGCCTGCGCTATATCTTCTGTAGACACCGGACAGACATTCTGCGGTCTTGAGGGGTTTCGCCCCTAAAATGCACTGAAAGTGCTCAAGGTGAGGATGTGCGCTGACGAATTGGCGCAGTTACTTGCCCCTTGTCATCACCCCTACGTTTCTTTGAGCATGCTTCCTGTTATGAAATGAAAGAGCGTGCTAAAGATATCCAATCTCGACTCGTACTTGACGGATTCTATGTTAGGGGCGAAGCTCCTTAAGCCGAGGGTCGTGCGTCCACGATGTATGGATGTATGTATGTATGTATGTATGTATGTATGTATGTATGTATGTATGTATGTATGTATGTATGTATGTATGTATGTATGTATGTTGTTGTTGTTGTTGTTGTTGTTGTTGTTGTTGTTGTTGTTGTTGTTGTTGTTGTTGTTGTTGTTGGTCGCTTCCACGGCCGGATCAGAGGAGCGGGACGCACGCACTCTCTTGAATTGAGGAGGAAACCCGTGCACGTTAATCATAAATAAAAGGATAGTTGTTTCTAATGAAATAACCTACAGAGACGGGTATCGATGTGTCAATCTCCAATAAATTTGCCTTGCATTTGATGCTTACTAAAAAAAATCTAAGAAGGGTGCACTTTGAGCACTATCTGTCCAGAAAAGGTTGCCACGTTAAACTCGCTGGGCGTAACCTCCTTAATTTTTACAAGGTTTAGTGAGGTTTGGGCCGCCGCGCCATGAACTAGCGGTGGAGAAAGGGGGGAACTAGAGACAGAGCGCAGGCCGTAAAAGAGTGTGCGCGTGCCGCTCCTCTAGTCTGGCCATGCCACCTCTTGTTTAGTCCTTGGAATGTCCGCTGGATGGCGGTACTTCTATATAATGAATATATGATGAAAAGATGCGAGATGGTGGGGCTTGGAGTGTTCACTAGATGGACGGAAGGATGGACAGACGCACGGACAGACGGACGCATGGATAGACGGACGCACCAACCAACGCACAGACGAAAGCAGGGACGGACGCATGGACCGACGCACGAACGGATGAACACAAGGACGGACGAACGAACACACGGAAGCAAGAACGGACGGACGGATGGAAGCGCGGGCGGACTGCCGGTTGCTTCACCCCACTCATCATCATGCACTCCATGGATACGCAGCGATCTTTTTTCGGCAGGCGATACGTGAGGTGATAAACTCCTGTGATGAAGTCATCATCATCATCAGCCTGACTACGTCTACTGTCGGACAAAGGCCTCTCCCATGTTCCGCTACTTAACTCGGTCCTGTGCTTGCTGCTGCCAATTTATACCCGCAAACTTTTTAATCTCATCTGCCCACCTAACCTTCTGTCTCCCCATAACCCACTTGCCTTCTCTGAGAATCCAGTCAGTTACCCTTAATGACCAGCGGTTATCCTGTCTACGCGCTACATGCCCGGCCCATGTCCACTTCATCATCTTGATTTCAACCACGATATCCTTAACCCCCGTTTGTTGCCTGATCCATTCTGCCCTCGTCTTGTCTCTTAAGGTTACATCTGCCATTTTTCTTTCCATTGCTCACTGCGTAGCCCTCAATTTAAGCAGAACCCTCTTTGTAAGTCTCCAGGTTTCTGCTCCGTAGCTAAGTACCGGCAAGATACAGCTGTTATATACCTTCCTCTTGAGGAATAGTGTCAATCTACCTGTCATAATTTGAGAGTGCTTGCCAAATGTGCTCCACCCCATTCTTATTATTCTAGTTACTTCAGTATCTTGGTTCGGCTCCGTGGTTATTACCTGCCCTAAGTATACATACTCTTTTACAACTTGAAGTGCACCATTACCTATCTCGAAGCGCTGCTCTCTTACGAGGTTGTTGTACATTACTTTCGTTTTCTGCCGATTAATTTTAGGACCCACCTTTCTGCTCTCCTTGTCTAACTCCGTAATCATTAGTTGCAATTCGTCCCCTGACTTACTCAGCAATGCATTGTCATCGGAGAAGCGCAGGTTACTAAGGTACTCTCCATTAACTATTATCCCTAACTGATCCCACTCTAGGCTTCTGAAAACCTCCTGTAAGCACGCGCTAAATAGCATTGGGGAGATTGTGTCCCCCTGCCTTACACCCTCTTGATTGGTATTCTATTGCTCTTTCTATGAATCACTATGGTAGCAGTTGATCCCCTGTATATTTTTTCCGTGATGTTTATATATGCTTCATCGACGCCCTGATTCCGCAGGATCTGCATGACTGCTGATATTTCTACTGAATCAAACGCCTTCTCGTAATCAATGAAGGCTATGTAAAGTGGTTGGCTATATTATGAGCATCTCCCTATTACCTAATTGATAGTATGAATGTGGTCGATTGTTGAAAGCCTGTTCGAATAGCCTGTTCGAAACCGCAAGTGGACATGGAGGAGCCCTAATGGCGAAAATAAGAACGAAATAGACTTTATAATGAGTGCACACCCAGGCATCGTGCAGGATGTGGAAGTGGTTGGCAAGGTACGATGCAGTGACCATAAAATGGTACGGTCTCGAATTCGCCTAGACTTGAAGAAGGAACGACAGAAACTGATACGCAAGAAGCCAATTAATGAACTAGCTCTGATAGGGAAAGTACAGGAATTCAGTCTCTCTTCAGAACAAGTACTCGGCTCTTAGTGAGGAAACCAACCTTAGCGTAGATATAATGAATGATAATCTGACGAGTATCATTACGGAGTGTGCAGTGGAAGTAGGAAGCAGGGTAGTTAGACAGGACACTGGTAAGCTTTCCCAGGAAACAAAAAATATCATTAAGAAGCGTCAAATCATGAAAGCCTCAAATACAACAGACAAAATAGAACTGGCAGAGCTTTCGAAGTTGATTAATAGGCGTAGGGTATGCGATTTAAGAAGGTATAACGTGGAGAGAATTGAACACGCTCTGAAAAACGGAGGAAGTGTCAAAGCAGTGAAGAAGAAACTTGGGATAGGCAAAAATCGGGTGTATCCTATTCGGACGCGTTACTTTCCGGGCCCCATACTTTCCTGGCCCCAAATTGTTCTGTTTATAACGAAACATTTTTTTATGTAAATAACTTGCAAATACACAAAGCCAGGCTGAGATCAGAAAGCAGTAGGCATACGCTCTTACTATTGCCGGGCCTGCAGAACAGCGACACCTGCTTCATAATTAGAAAGTATGAAACGGCAGAACTACTTTTATAGAAAAAATGATTATGCGGATCATGAAGTTAATCATCACGGCAATTGCACGCTCAATTTAAGCATGTTTATTTAATCAGGTCTAGTCTAGGGTTATCCGTTCATGAAAGAGCCTGCCATGTTAGCCATCATAGTCATCATCGTCACAATAATAATAATAATAATAATAATAATAATAATAATAATAATAATAATAATAATAATAATAATAATAATAATAATAATAATAATAATAATAACTTGCAAGGGCTTTCCAGGTGGTCACAAACTTTTTAAAGTAGCTTCAGCTTACCAACCACACAATTCCCGATGAAGCCGCCATACTTAATAATATCACGGATCTTTTTTTACCGATTTCCATGCGTGGCAAAAGAGATGTCAGATGCTACGGAATCATGGAACGAAGGGGATAGATTGGTTGGTATAGAAATGGTGGTGGTGATGGAGATATTAGTGATGATGGGTGTCTCAATTGCTCGGGAAATAAAAATCGATGCAGTAGTCTAGGTACTTTTTCGGCATGCGCTGTTTTTCGTATTAAAATTAATCACGTGCGTTGATGAAAAAAGAGTGCGTGGTCGATCGATCAATCGATATGCGGGGTTTAACGTCCCAAAATCACCATAGGATTATGAGAAGCGCCGTAGTGGAGGGCTCCGGAAATTTCGACCACCTGGGGTTTGTTTAACGTGCACCCAAATCTGAGCACACGGGCCTACAATATTTCCACCCCCATCGGAAATGCAGCCGCCGCAGCCGGGATTCGATCCCGCGACCTGCGGGTCGACGGCCGCCGATCACCTTAGTCACTAGACCACCGCGGCGGGGCAGTGCGTGGTCATTCCGCAAGGCACCAGAACCACTACGTTACTCTATGCCAGAACTTACCAAACACGCGGAGGCATTGAACCAATAAAAACGGCTCGTTCTCACGAGGAGACCACGTGAGCGCGCACGTGCCCGTGTGGGTTGTTGGCCTCAGCACATCGCAGCAGCAGCTCTCTCATCGTTGCATCACTGCATTCTGCAACGTTGGCCGGCGCAAAAACGGCGAGTATCATCGTCGCGCCGACAAGAAGGGACAGGTTTTCTGATCTTCTCGATCGGAACAAGACAAGAAAAGAAGGAGTGTACCTGTCGTCCACGATGGCAGGAAAGCGTGAGTGCCTCCTTCTCCTCCAATTCTGAGGGCGATGGCCACGCGACAGCCAAAAAAATATCTTCCGCACATGGCACGGAGGGCCGGCCGTTGAGGCTAGGACTGGTCTGGCCACGAAGGCGTAACGATGTCCGTGCCGAAAAAAAAATAATATAAAAAACGAGATCTAGTTGCGACATCATCGCGCCACAGGGCAACACCGGCAAGCGCTCGACGCGAATCCTAGCGGCGTTGACAACGTGCACTGCACGCCGAGGCCAGCCGGGCGAGCAGGTCACTACTCCCCGTCCGTCGTCCTCCTCACGTGCGGGAGGCCCTGCACCTTTTCCATCCTCTTCCGCAGCATTGGGCCGAGAAACAAAAAGGGAAAGCATGTCGGCGCAGTTACGTAATACACCAGGCTCGCGACTTTCACTTGATGTACGGTTTCCTTGGTTTAATTCCGCTCGTCGTCTTATAAGCTTCGAAGGTAGGCGGGTGATACATTACAACGCCATCTCCGGGTCTTGGCAGAGATCCTGTACGAGGCTTGCGACAGGCGTGGTTTATCGAGGTGCGGGAAGGGAAGGGCGGGTTTTATTAAAGCGATCTCGCTGTGCTTTCTGTATAAAAGGCCGACCGATCGAAGTGGTCAGTGCGAGGAGTGTCCGTTGTCGTAAACGTTCAAGAAACCCTTCGTGCCAGAACCGTCGTGAAGACAAACCATGAGGTGCCTACTAGCTCTCGCCTTTCTCGTCGTCGCTGCCAACGCGTTGTACTACGAGACGAAACCGGAGCTCGGGAAGTACCAGGACGAGGCCGAGGTACGATTGATTGATTAGTTTTGATTTGATTCGTATTCTTTAACGTCCCGAAGCAACGTTGCAACTGTGGAAGGGGCGATAGAAAGTGGGTTTGGTAATATTTTTTTTTTTGCCCTCCTGGGTCTCATAGCAGCAGTTTTGGCATTCTGCATCCATCCAAACGTGGCCACTACAGCCCGTAAACTAACGCGATACCTCTTCAGCAAAACGCCACACATATAATTGTTCGGGTTTTAGGTATCGATAAAGGTATATGACTTGTGTGAGACGCCATAGTGAAGCGCTTCGTGAATTTGGACCACCTGCGGTTCTTTAACACCCAAGTGTAAGCACACGGACCTCTGGGAATTGGCTTCGATTTAAATGCGGCAACCGCGGCAGGGATTCGATTCCGCGACTTTCTGCTCAGCAGTCAATCATAGTATATCTACATGACCACCACAGCTGGTAACGTTATAGTAGATACAGTCATTGAGGCGGATACTGATGCGCGAGTAGAGTGAAGCTATATTTGTTTTTTTTTTAGTCAACTGGCCTTCTGCCTTCACTAATGATCTGTTCGACATCACGCGTGGCTGACATATCCAAACTTTTCTAGCCTAATAACTTTCTACATACGTGCGTGAACAGCGGCAACGCCTTTCTCCAGCCAAGGCCTGTATTGTATAACATGTGAGAGCGTAACTATAAGTTTGTTTGTGGGCATTATATGACTTATATAAGCCATAAGCGACGGCTGCTAATCATCATGTGTTGCTTAATTTTTAGCTCAATTGGACTCGCCGAATAATGGAGGCGTTCACATTGAATCAGGGCGTCCAGATAACAACGTTGGTTATTGCAAAATTTTAGCTTGCCTACTGCCGAGGCGCGCTAGCTGAAGCATGCACAGCGAACCCTTTCTGTCAAGGACCGCAAGGGAGCGTAATCATCCGTTTTCCACCGCCTATAGCTGTCGGAAGCGCAGCTTTTTTTTATATTCCTGGATCAAGGATAGAGAAAAGCAGGATGTGAACGAGATGTTGTCAGCCTTGGTTGGAAGTTCTTATGGACGCCCAACGAATTGTATGTACACTTAGAGGGATGAGCAACCTCTTTCATTGTTAGAATCAAAGTTCGCACTTGTATTTACGCACTGTTTACTGCTTGCAACAGATTGAAGTCGGTAATTGAATGGCCCTCTGACAGGTGCCACGAAACACCAGTACAGAAAGGGCAATCTCAAGATGCAACTGAGAAAAGGGGTGGTTGAGAGGGACATGTTCAGGTCGGTATCTACGCCTGACTACCCCTTCAGTCGCCTTACTATGTGTTGAAGATAACGACATTTTAACCGCAGGTGTAATTATTATATATGAACAGACATATGATTAGACAAGAGCGCTTTCGTTCATCAAAGCCTACAGAGCTATATGAAGGGCGGACTTGTCGGCTATAGTTGGTTGAACACATATAGAACAGCGCCAAAGACGAGAACGGGAAAAGGCACACAAACAATCACCCGTAGCGCCGACTGTCAACTTTCAAGTGGTATTTTTTGTTTTAATATATGCTTTTTCAGCATAGACGTTGTCTTGGTAAGGTAAATGCACATATTATCTAGACTGCTTGAGACAGAAATTCAGCTGAGTTGTGGTGAAGCTGAAACAACTTTGCATGTCATTGCTACACATGCATTCCAATACTTTGATTTAAAGGACAATTACTACAAATGTGTTCTCATTTATTATGTGACACACGACAAAAGAGTACATCATTTCCGGTTAGAGACACATCAACTATGAGATGGGTGTAATAGAGTAGCTTTTGTGCTCAGCCCATGAACAACAGTGGACGCATGAAAATACTTTAGGTCTAACGCTCACGTCTTTTTTTTTGCGTGAAGTGGGTTTTGCAATGATTATATTTTAGTACTTTATCAATTTCCGTTAAAGCAAGCAACGGTTTATGTCATCCCTTGTCGCTCACTGAAAATATATGCCTAAAGATGACAGCGTAGAACCATGTTGTATGTGCAAAGCTTCTTTTTTTTTTTATGAAGGACCTTCATTACATTTTAGGGCAGCTTATTTAAATGATTTTTGGTCCGCGATCGTGTAAGGTGCACGTCTGTTTTCACTGGTTGAACATATATTCAGGAAAGCTTGCATTCGTTTACTAGAAAAATGTTGTTTACTACTTGAGATTAGAAGAAAAAGACAACCTTCCCTCGAATTCCGCGACCAGCCCTCGGAGTCGATACGTCATTTCGACGTACAGCCGTCAGCACCTTTAACACGAACACTTCGACGCGTGCGTGGCCTGGGCTAGTTTGATTGATGCCAGCCGCGAAGTGCTGAGCGCTTTTGCCGAGATAATACCTCGGTAGGCTTGGATAGTATGTCGGCTTGTATGGTTAGCATCTTGGAAACAGAACCCAAACGTACTTGGTGTCAGAGTCAATCAAACTACTGCGGGACACGCGGCGGAGCGTTAGTGTTGAAGGTGCTGACGGCTGTACGTCAGGTTTCGGAAAAGTGTCTCGTTTTCTCGACCTTTTTAGGCATAGAAAATGTCTTTAAGGCACGCGTAATTTTAGCCTCTGGCTCAATCACGGTATTGTGCACAGCAGCGCCACTTTACTGGTAAACAAGTATAACCGCAGCTGTGTCGCAACTGTCAAAATTGATTACTTCAAGGTTAATTGAATGTGAAAGCTTTGGCTTACCAATGCCTTCTCTGGCGATAAAGGTTTCAAGCAGATTAGCGCAACTTACCAATGCAGCTCATTATAGTCTATAAGTAAAGATGTAACGTTGGTCAAGCCTGTGTGTCCTTAACAGATACACTTACCAATGCAGCTCATTATAGTCTATAAGTAAAGACGTGAGGTCAAGCATAAGTACGTACACTTTGCAGATACATTGATAGCTAGCATATCAAAGGGTTACTAAAACGGGAAAAAAATCCCGTATTAGTAAACTACCCTTTCGCGATACTAAAAGCACCAAGCTTGCTTCTATAGAAGACGCTTGGCGAGCGAGAAAACGTGGGTGGAAACGCCGCCTACAAGTTTGCGCACCAGCCATCGCAACGTCAATGATGTTGACGGCGTCTGCTAGGGCCTACGCAGTTCCAAGTCGATGAAACTGAAATGCATTGCTTTCTGAGAAAGGCGTAGATTTAACGTACGAAACGCCAGGAAATTTCTCCAAACCGGTGCGGCCAGAATACGAGAAATCACTTTGAAATCCGTGGCACCACCACAGGAGATTTCGGTGCGAACGATGAACAAACGTGCTAGCATCGAAATGTATTCTGTACGTGAGATGATACCTCCGCGTGCTCAACCGCCGATCAACGCCAATTCGTTCACCGTGACGGATGATGTCTTGTCCTACCGTACTTGCTCGCGTGCTACCTGCACTGGTTGACACTGGCTAACGTTGGCTGAATGATGGCTAATAATGTTCGCCAGCGATGGCTCAATCATTTGTAGTTTTGGCTGTGACGTAAATCATGAGCTATTATAACAGCAATGCTGCCTTTATAGACTCTCTATCTAATCATAATAGTAACTTCTGGGGTTTTACGTCGCAAGACAACAATATAATTAATGATGGCCGTAGCAGTAGAGGAGTCCGGAAGGAAATTTCGACCCTGCACGTATTCAAGCACACGAACCTCAAACTCCCTCGAACTTCCTCAAAATACGTCCGTCACGGCCAGGAATCGACGCCACAGCCTTCGGGTCAGTAGGCGGACAGCCCCGATGGCCGTATCGGACCTTTGTCTAATGATATCCACGCACATATAAACTGACGAAAATTTCAGTTAGTTACATGCCCGCGGGTTTTCTCTCGCATTTGTCAGGGCTCGTTTCGAGAAACACTCTTGATTATGCATTTGCCGATTGTTTGTGCAGTGCTTCCCGTACGAGACTTACTGGTACGTAGTCTACCGGACGTTCGAGCATGACCCGTACCTCGACGATGGCAAGTGCGCCTACATAGCGCAGACCAAGCCCCTTGTGAACGGAACTGCACACGCACATCTCAAGGACGCCACCGGACAAGTTCTGTGAGTACCTTAGTAGGCTCGGCTAAGGGCGAAAGGGCAGAAACATACTATCACTTTGAAGGGAAAGGGGCTTGCGAAACTCTTTAACGTTAACGCCTAAACGTAAGCACACGGATGGTTTTCCTTTCGTTTCGCCCTAATCCAAATGCAGCCGCTATGAATGGAAATCGAACCCGAACCCTCGTGTTTCGCAAAGCAACACTAAACATTGCACCACGACAAATATGGCGAGCAACTGAACGTGGTGATGTGTGTTCGAAAAATCTCATTGGTATACTCACGGCTCTGTTTTTAACGCGAAGGTGTTTTACGCCAGCGTCCACCAAGACTGAACGTATATTGCTGTCACGGAAATGACGTAAACAAAAGGGCACGTGCATTGCTCGGGAAGGAAATAAAAAAAAATATTGCGTGTTTTTTTTTTTTCGCGCGGATTACTTATACACGATATGAGGGACTGGAAGCCAATGTGAACTTGTCAAATACATTTTTTTTTCTTTCCATTATACAGGGAGTTCACGACGGAACTGCACAAGACGGAGGGATACAAATACTACAACAAGCACAACGTGACTCTGCTTAACGGTAAGCGTAAAATCTTGCGAACTGTAACCACAATCACATACCGCAGCCAGTGGCGCGGAGTGATGCTGTTTCCGGAGCATTATACGTGAAGAAATGCAAATGACATTGAAAGAATGGGCGTGTCCTATTGTGGTTTCAGAGCTAACACATAAACCACCGCTATAGTTGATTTTTACGGAAGATTTCGATTACAATATGTCACTTATGAAGCTTAATTACTATAGGTCGTACCTTGACATGTCGTAAGTAAGGTACTTGGAACTTGTGCCATATAGTCTAGGGGTGCACCTGAGGTTAAATTCCACATTGTGCGCCATCTAAAGCTTCCAATTGTAAGGCTACGACGAAGGGATAAATGTAGCAAACCTGAGTGCCAGTGGTAATGATATCAAATTTTGGGTTTTGCATGCCAAAATGACCATGATTGAGGGACGCCCTACTGGAGGGTTCCGGGAATTTTGACAATCTGGAGTTCTTTGCGGTGTGCCTAAATCTAAGCGCACGGGCCGTCTCGCCTTCATTTAAATGCAGCCTCCGCTGCCCGTGTTCGATCCCGAGATCTTCAGGTCAGCTGTCGAGCAGCATAACTACTTTGGCACTGCGGCGGGTCTAGATAAGGTGGTGGTTGGTGGTTGCCACGCGGCACGAGCGCGCTTACTTGCCCAAAGTTTTTTGTTGCTTCAACGCTTGCAGTTTTTTCACGCTCGGGATGAACGTTCCTTGACATTTACGCTTCAATAACGCGTGTCACAGGACAATCAAAAGGAGCAGGAAGCCACGATTCTACGAGCCAACCAATCAGAACTGACAAGACGACAAATTCGACAGCATGGCAATATTTTGACATTGTACCGAACAGATTGATGATTGATTTGTGGGGTTTAACGTCCCAAAACCACTATATGATTATGAGAGACGCCGTAGTGGAGGGCTCCGGAAATTTCGACCGCCTGGGGTTCTTTAACGTGCGCCCAAATCTGAGCGCACGGGCCTACAACATTTCCGCCTCCATCGGAAATGCAGCCGCCGCAGCCGGGAATCGAACCCGCGACCTGCTGTACCGAACAGAGCCATGAATTCGGCCAGTTGGTGGTTCACTATTTCTTCTTGCTCTTCGTATTAAGAGGTGGGGACGAGATAGAGATTACAAGGCAGTTGGTGCATTAACTGATTGATTGATTGATTGATTGATTGATTGATTGATTGATTGATTGATTGATTGATTGATTGATTGATATGTGGGGTTTAACGTCCCAAAACCACAAGATATGATTATAAGAGACGCCATGTAGTGGAGGGCTCCGGAAATTTCGACCACCTGGGTTTCTCTAACGCGCACCCAAATCCGAGCACACGTGCCTACGTGCGTAAACTGGCGACTGTTTCGTTAACATCTTGTCAAGTGTCAAATAAAGGTCAACAATTCAGATAGCATGAATAAGAAAAAGGCCGAAACATGGCAAAAGGACTAAAACATAAGATGATGCAAGGTTATATGAAATATGCCTTTGAGTTGTTCGTCGTTTATAGTCTTTCTGTCACCGTCCCGCCATTTTCCTTATTCATCCTATGTGAATGTTAACTTTTTTTTTTTTTTGGCACTTCGCAAGATGTGAATAACACCGCCGTGAGTGGTGGTGGTATAGTGGTTAGAAGATGAGAAAAGGCACCTAATTTCTGCAACCCGGTCGGGAGCATGGCGCAGTGCCTGCCGTGAGTTCGCGCCCCAACTGTCCTGTAGTCCCTGCAGTGCCTCCTCCACCTCTGGTGATGCGAAGCGCAAGAATAAATCGTGAATATGATAGAATACCGATGGAAAATTGAGCTAGTTGGTAAGCATTAATCGTAAATGTTATGTACTTTAACACGGGCGCATGTGAAAACAAAAAAACGACGTTCGTTCAGCCTCGTTTTCTTTTATTCATTATACTACTCCAGATGGTGACCATGTTTGCCACATGGCATAGTTTTCTTTTTGTTTCTCACCTGTGAGGGAGGGGGGGTTGTACAGGTACATCGAATAATAAGTTGAAGCGGTACTTTCGGTAGTTAATTTCGCTCTAAATTGCACGACGTGATCATGTCCGAAGGACGGTGCACGCTACGTGAGCGTTTTTAATGAAATGATCCTCATGTTTTTCATTACAGGACCCAAGAAAGGCCACAGCGTCTCATTGTTTAGCGCGTACTCCGACTGTGACGAATGCAAGGTCTACAGGCACCCGTACATTGGCGGTAAGGTCAACCGCGCTTTGCATTTCGCTCAAGAAGCTGTGTTTCTCAGCTAAGCTGACTACAAAAGAGCTTGTCTACTATGCCGCTTTTCCTTCTCAGTGGATGCATTCTTCATCCTCCCCCGCCTGCCGGGGTACTCACCCCGGAGGGTGGGGGAGCAATATTTATTTACATATATAGTTAATTAGGTGTTACTAATTAATTAGGCAGTATTGTATAGTTAGCCACTCGGTCAGAAATTATTTAGTCAGTAATTAATTAGTCAGTAATGACACATATACAAAATATGCACAAGCTGTATGGTCCCATAGCTATATAAGCTAGTGCATGTGCAATTAGAAATATACAACAGAAACTGCAATACTATGAAAGTAAAAAGCAGCAAAAAATTAAGTTTGATATCATGCAAGAAATAGTCCATAACTACTAACAACAATCACTTGATATCGATCAAAAAGAAAATGAAAGTACAAGTCTTGTAGTCAACTCCCAAACTTCTGCTCCTAACGTCGTTTTACCTGGCCTCCATGATCGAAGACATTTAAAGCTTCCAGCACGTCAACTGTTTTCGTACAGACTCAGTGATCGGCCCGCCACTGACCAAGAGACTATTCCACGATGACGTCATCGCTTGACGTCACGTGACGTAATGATGTCATCACTAATTTTGGTGCTTTGTTACGTCATCGCGCGATTATAATTTTCTGCATCACTTGCTTTGGCGCCGGCGGTCAATATTCGCGTATGACGGAGCACCTAACACACGCGCGCACGCATGCAACCACGCACGCAACCACGCACCACTTTATAATGTGACTACAGATCAATCTAGATTTGCCAAACTCGATATTGGACCAGCGAATTGTTTAGTTAAATCTATAGTTTCGTCAACAACAAAAAATGAAAGCTCACTGAGGTGAATTAAATTTGCTAGGGATTAAAAAGTATTTCTTTTTTAAATTATGCCAGCTTGACAATTTTCACTCTTGTCAAAGACAGCCAACTCTTAGAGCGCTTCAAGTTTCGTCGTTACAGTGACAAACCTAAAGAAATAATAATAATAATAAGCGTTTAGCATTCGCTGAGGGACGAGGGCACGGAGAAAGAAGAATTCTCGCTCCGTGGACGAAGGATTTGGGGGCAAAAGAAATAAGACTCTTGAAGGCTTCAATAAAAAAAAATGTGATGGAAGCCAGCGAAGATGATTGCCAGTCAACCGTATCGATTTCTCGTGTCACTTGCCATTCCTGAATCACGGTGCCCTGTTGGCACTTCAGAGGCTGACACACGAAGTCGCCTTCTGAGTGTCAACAACAATGTCCAATCACATCAAGACACAGTATACACGGTTCCATATCCAAAGCCGCTCCACTTGGACCTCCGTAGGACTGACTACATGTTTGAATAGCCCTTATATAGGGGAGCGCTCATCACTGCGAATTCAGAGCCGAGGCACTTCCTTTCTCGTCTTCAGCACCCTTTATACGGGCACAATCTTTTCCTCACCACTTACTTCTTCATGAAGCGCGTAGACAACGTCAGCACTGAAACATTGAGTCTATCTAGATTTCTCGCTTTTTCACCAGTTACGTGGTGTTATCTGCGCTTGAAAAAATGCAGAAAACGAAGTGATATCAGTTGACCGCGCACGACGGTCGTGCGAGGCAAGGCAGCATCGGCTTGTCTGGACAAAATCTTCCAGGCCTACGCATGGATCACAGGAACCGTTTTGATTGATTCTGCCCCTCTTTTTTATTCGCAGAGAATGCCTGCTCGCTGCTGGTACCTGCTCACAGGAAGAACAACCTGACCCACTCGTGCAAGTTCATCTTCCACCTGCTGTGCGGAAGCAACTACGAGACCGTCTACGACGAGACTTGCAAGGCCAAATGAGCTTGCCCCTGGATCCGGCACGACGTATATGAAACATTTATGCGTTCATTGTACCGCTGTATGGTCTCCGCCTCCGTACATTTGGCATCCAATAAAGGCATTACTCCCCGCTGTACGCTCACGGCCCCTTCTTTTCTATTAAAAAAATTGGCAGGTCCCACGTACAGTGGGAATCGATGATATGCGAAGCACGAATGAGGAAGGTTGATATGTCACTTCAAAATTGCCACAACTTTACGAGGCGGACGTAAATAATGCCGTACATGACTTCCATGCCATAATTGTCGTGTTTGCGCCTGGAATTTGTGTTCGTCGTCCATCCACGTCACGTATTAACAAGTTCAGTATATGTGAAGCAAGCGAAATGGCCGCGAGCGCGCTATACGAGTGTATACCCTGTAGTCATGTTTTACAGGAAACGCACGTCATGATTACCATGTTTGGACGTGTCATTTACCTCCGTCGTCTATTCACGTCACGTAATACCCAATGTGCTATATGTGAAGCTAGCGAAACGGCTACGAGCGCAACATGGGCGTGGTATGTAGTCACGCTCTTACATTGCACGCATGTCATGACTATCATGTTTGCACCAGTCGTATACCTTCGTCGTCCTTTGACGTTACGTAACACCACATTTCGTATACGAGAAGCTAGCAAAACGGCCGCTAGTGCATTATGAGCGTAGCACGTAGTCATGTTCTTACATGACACGCACGTCATGAAATCCACGCTAGGGCCTGTCACCTATGTCAACTTATGTTCGCAATGTAGTCATGTGATACCATACCAGTTTTTAAATGCGAAGCATATCTTAGCGAACTGCGGCGAGATTGAACGTATCTATCTATCCATCCATCTATCCGTCCATCTATCTATCTATCTATCTATCCATCTATCTATCTATCTATCTATCTATCTATCTATCTATCTATCTATCTATCTATCCATCTATCTTTCCATCTATCTATCTATCCATCTATCTTTCCATCTATCTATCTTTCCATCTATCTATCTATCCATCTATCTATCTATCTATCCATCTATCTATCCATCTATCTATCTATCTATCTGTCTATCCGTCCGTCCGTCCGTCTGTCTATCCGTCCGTCCGTCCGTCCGTCCGTCCGTCTGTCTGTCTGTCTGTCTGTCTGTCTGTCTGTCTGTCTGTCTGTCTGTCTGTCTGTCTGTCTGTCTGTCTGTCTGTCTGTCTGTCTGTCTGTCTGTCAAGGCGCCCACGACTTGGCCGTTTGTGTAATGAGATATGAGATCTATATCAAAAATGGTATGACATAGTACGACTGTACGACGAGCATAAGTGACTAGTCATAACATGAAAATTGTAACACATATCTCATAAATTTCATAATTTACATGTCATGATCTTGGTGCTCTTGCAGTAGTGTCTTTCCATTACATGTTGCAAAACTGGTATAGTATGACACGACTGCAATGCGAACCCAAGTGACAGACACTAACATGTAAATCATGACATGCATGTCAGGTAACAACATGACTACATGCTACGCTCATGAGGCGCTCACAGCCATTTCGCTAGCTTCGCATTTACAACATTTAATATTGCGGGACGTGAATGGATGACAAAAGTATGCGTCTGGTGCAAACATGATAATCATGAGATGCGTGTCATGTAACAACATGACTACATGCCATAATCATGATGCGCTAGCGGCCATTTCGCTAGCTTCACATATACCAAATTTGGTATCGCGTGACGCGAACGGACGACGAAGGTAAACGACACGTTCAAACATGATAATCATGATTTATGCGTGTCGTGTAACAACATGACTACATTCTACACTCATGATACGCTCATGGCCATTTCGCTAGCTTCACATGTACCAAATTTGCTATTACGGGACGTGAATGAATGACGAAGGTACGTGAGTTGTGCCGTGGCCGCCTGAATTGGGCGCGCCGTGATCCAGGTGGCCGTGCTTGTGCAAACATGATACTCCTGACATGCGTGTCATGTAACAAAATGACTACATGCCACGCTCACGATGCATTCGCGGCCGTTTCGCAAGCTTCACATGTACAAAATTTCGTATTACATGACGCGAACGGACGATTAAGGTACATGACACGTCCAAACAAGATAATCATGGCATGCGTGTCATGTAAAAGATGACTACATGCTACGCTCATAGCGCATTCCCGGCCACTTCGGTAAGTCAACGTATACCAAACTTGGTACTACGTGGCGTGAGTAGACGACGAAGGTAAATAACACGTCCAAACATAATAATCATGACATGCGTGTCATGTAAAACATGACTATATGTTTATTATTGTGTTTACGAGCGACTATAATCATTGAGATTAAATCTGGGTTTGTTTAATGAAGAGATGAACTCTAAAATCAAATAATACTTTATAAGACCACTCAATTATTGGCCGGTAACCCCCAGTGGGTATGAGCCACGAATGAAGGGCAACAAGAACAAGTACGACGGCTCGTCCTAAATTTTCTCTACATTTTGGTGCCGTGCAACCCGGGAGGAAGGACCGACGGACTTGCGATGGAGCGGACTTCACGAATTTCGACCGCAGTCGTAGCCTCGAGGACTTTTGTGAAGCCACCGTGGGTAAAGCTGATGTGCGAGCCTAACCCTACGGGTGTCCTAAATTGTGAAGGATGGCATCTCTACGATTCCCGCATCTTCGCTGTGCGAACATTCTGCGATGAATGCCATGTTGACTCCAGCTTCGCCTCGTGACACGGCCGGCCAGTGATGTATCCCATTTCCGACACTAGATCGGATCATGGAGGCCCTCTTCGAAGGGCGGAGTCAAAACACGCACGGCCGTCACGCAAGTCATCGCAGATACCGAACGTCTTCGGCAATTGGATCGCCCACCAATCGGTGAGTTACGACGTATTCGCCGAGTTTTGATTGAACAGTATGAGGAACTCAGACGAATTGACAAATAAGCTGAGAATACAGTCGATATCGATAATTTGGGAGCTGAGACTAAGGAAGCTGATATTTACGAGCGCCAGATTATTCTAATAAGGGTCGGAGCAGAATATAAGATCGCGGAAACCTTAAAGGGTCGAGAGGTTCATTTAACATCAATAAGACAACAGGTTAAAATGGAAGCAGAAAGAAAGGCACTCTCGGCGTCTGCGTCACCGCCATCCAGCCGAAGTCTATTGGAAAGTAATCGTGCAGCACAGATGCCAGACGAGTAAGCCTCCGGGCATAATCTTGAACGTAAGGGAAGCCAATCGATAAGCGCCTTGGCTGCAGTAACGACCATTAAAGGAGCCCGCACAAAACAACCGCTACCTACAAAGATCTGGCCCAGGCCTTTAGAACTGTCGTCAGCGTGCAATAGTCGTGAAACTATCGACAAGACGTCTACAATTCCGTTATTCGAGGTGGAAGGCATTCCCATGATTCAAAAGAAAGACTTTGTAGATACAAAACACCACCCACGAGATGTTAAGGATGCGTCTAAGCGACGGCTGGCCGACTCGGAAGTTATAAAATTCTTCATCGCCCTGCGTAAAAGTGCCCGAAGGAGGCAAATCAAGGCCAGTTAATGGAGCGAAAAGAAACAGAAAAAAGACCACGAAAACACAAAACCGAGCCCTTCGTACAGAACATAACCTCTGCTCCTCGAACAAGCCGCCAACATCAAAGTTGAAGCGAATGCAGATGAAACAGCTGCTTCTACCCAAGATGCAAAGCACCAAGACAAAACCAAAACCACAAGCGCGACAGCCTAGAAAAAGCAAAAGGAAAAAGCTGATTGTTCCCAGGCGACTGCAGACAAGCCCAAGAAATCGAGAAATCTCAGAAATAGCTCCTGCAGACCCTCGTGGAAAAGTCAGCATCATCGATTTTCCCGCGAACGAAACCGGCTCATCGACCGCGCAAGTCCATCAAGGGGAACACGTTCAAAGGCACACATTTTGAACAAGCGTGCGAAACGCCACTGGAAGAGCCGGCGCACGAGGAAACCTGGGCTCTTCCATATGGACCGACTTAGAACTCGTATAAATGCTGACTAGTATCGTGTCCAAAGAACCTGGGCTTGTTTTAAGCGTTCTTCGTCGTCATGCGTCACTTGTGGGGGCGCGCAAGATGTTAAATATGGTGTTGACGAGCGACTATCATCATTGGGATTATATCTGGGTTCGAATAAAGAAGATGCCAACGGGTGGGCTTCGCGATGGGCACGGTGGCTCGTCCTTTTCTCTACTATGTTACAGTTACAGGTCGCTCACGGCCATTTTGCTAGCTCCACATGTACCGAAAAGCGACCGCGATCACACCATGAGAGTGGCGTGTAGTCATGAGTGACTTACATGACATGTCTGTCATGATTGCCACGGTAGGGTCTGTCACTTATTTCCGCATGCAGTTACGTCATGCCGCACAAGTTCTGCAATACGTCGTCAACAAAAGTACCTCGGAAGCAGAAAGACCACGAAATGTAAACCACGACGTTTGTGACATACAAGTCATGATTGTCATGTTGTTACTAGTAGTTATGCTCGTCATACAGTCATGGTATGCCATACCAATTTTGGTATTGATAAGACTATAGATAGATAGATAGATAGATAGATAGATAGATAGATAGATAGATAGATAGATAGATAGATAGATAGATAGATAGATAGATAGATAGATAGATAGATAGATAGATAGATAGATAGATAGATAGATAGATAGATAGATAGATAGAGATAGATAGATAGATAGATAGATAGATAGATAGATAGATAGATGTGGTCTAATTCGCCGAAGTTCACTAAAATATGCTTCGCATTTAAAAACAAAGTTCAGAAGCCAAGCCAAGGATGTCGGTGCCTGATGTACTACTACTATTTCTTTCTCTGCTTTTTTCTTTCTTTTTTTCTTTTTACCCTACTTTCCTTCTTTCTTTCTTGCCCCGCCGCGGTGGTCTAGTGGCTAAGGTACTCGGCTGCTGACCCGCAGGTCGCGGGATCGAATCCCGGCTGTGGCGGCTGCACTTTCGATGGAGGCGAAAATGTTATGGACCCGTGTGCTCAGATTTGGGCGCACGTTGAAGAACCCCAGGTGGTCGAAATTTCCGGAGCCCTCCACTACGGCGTATCTGATAATCATATGGTGGTTTTGGGACGTTAAACTCCACACATCACTTCAAATCATTCTATCTTTCCTTCGTTCTTTCTCTTGAACTGTGCGATGCTGCCTCGTAGCAGTTTCCTTCCTTCTATGCAAGGAGATGAACCCTCACCCAGCTGCGCAAAAATTCGTTTACTACAGAGAACAAGTATAACCATGCTTTCAAACACAGGTAAAAATTGAATGCCGCACCTTAAAATAACAAGTCATCTCGATAGTAGTCTGTATTGCCACATCACAAACTGCTGATTGTCGACAAATTCTCGATCGAGAGAGTTATTAATTATTGAAAAACGGCGCATGTAATTGCAGAATTGACTAGTGCGCTTTAGAGGGCTGCATTTATGTACGCTCGTCAGCGCCGACAGTAATATTAACGAAATATAAAGTTGCTCTGTCACGTGGGACCGCTTTCAGCTCTCCCATAGCACAGTACCAAGTAATGTAAACCGTTACCCACTTGTTCTAAACACATTTTTTGATAAATCGGACACAGCGATACGTCGGTACAACACCTGCTGGTCCGCATGGCATCCCGCATCTGTTCCTTGCTCCACACCAAGCTCGAGTTCTTTTTTCTTGCCATCACTTTGTTCTATTCTTTCTTGCGTTATCCTGTCCGCACCTTCAACACAGACTTTGCAATTATTCGCTATCGTAGTGCTTATTGAGGTTATTGATTTAATTGATCAACTGCCCTGCCGGTGAATTGTTGGTGACGAAACGATGATTGCTGACTTCGCTCTGTTTCGCGACGTGGCTTAAACGCACGTCCAGCTGCAAACCAAACCAACTATATGAACAGCGCGACGAGTATGCGTAGCTCTGGCCGACTGGATTCGCCCTACGCCATCTCCTGACGCCGACAGGAGCTCTCGTGGAGTGGTGCCCCATCCTCGGACTCCTGCGACCGTGTTCATCTTTCCTATCTTCTCTTTACTTCCGTCGCTCGCTGTCCCTACGCCTCGCTATCTCTTTCCCTCCCCCCCCTCCCTCCCTCCCCCTATATATATATATATATATATATATATATATATATATATATATATATATATATATATATATATATATATATATATATATATATATATATATATATATATGTATATATATATATATATATATATATATACGATGATTCCTGAGGTCGCTTTGTTTGCGACGTGGCTTAAACGCACGTCTAGCTGCCCGCTCATAATAAGTTCACGTGCTACGTGACCCCAAACATGCGAATAAGAGTGTTTTCACACTCGTCGCTCGGCTTATAGATGGCGCTGACTGTCACTCCTACTTCTAAATTCACATATAAACCCAAAAAAAGTGGATGGAGTGAAGGCCGCTGTGATAGCTCAGTGGTTAAAGCATCGAACGCGTTATTCGAAGGTCGTAGGTTCGATTCCTGCTCACGGCTGGTTATTTTTTCATCCACTTTCCTTTCTTCTTTCTTCTTATTTACATTCCATTGGTTCTAATAACTTCCCCTGTACATTCCTTGGCATTACTGTCTGTTAGATCTCATTAATATTGTGTTAAAACACGTAAAAACGAGCCCTTAGGTATACACTTCTTTCCCTTATATGTATATGTATATATATATATATATATATATATATATATATATATATATATATATATATATCTTTTAATCCCTCCTTATCCCCATTCCTTGTCAGCTATATACTGTTGAGGTGCCACACCTGATGCAGACAGTTATGGGGCTCACTTTTCTCTTCCTTTCCCTGTAAGAACCACATAAAAAAGAGTATATTTCCTGCTTGATTTTTTCAGTTTACCGGTTATTATCGTCTACGAATGTATCCTGCACGTTCCACGATAAGTTAGCCGTGACCCTTATGTTGACTAACTTCGCAAATCTTTGCACTGACTTTCAATGACAGCTAGACGTTCATCAGCGGCAACCTCAAACCGGTCGGGGCGACAGTCGGTGCCGCGGTTCATTTGCATACCTGGCAGCACGAATGATGAGGAGCTCGGAATCTCCACGTGACCACGTGTGCTACCTTGTTCCTCTGTCAGATAACCTGCCGCCCTATCTATTTCAGTGTAAAAGGCAGTACGTGCAGACGTCTGGTAAGAAGCACGTCCGGCCAGAGCACTTCACGTCATAAATTAAATGCACCGTGGAGAAAATTTCAGTAAGAAAAACACTTTGAAGACGGGTCTCCAACCGCCATGCGCTCAACGCCGACGAAAATGTAAGTGGGTCCGCAATGGCCGAAGCTGTTCTCGATTAGCCGAAACCATCGGCGGCCTCTAGTCGCTACAGGCTTCGCTTCACTGCACGCAATTGGTGAGAAGCAGTTGCACGGCTATGTATGCGTTTGATATCTACCTCGTCACGCTAAGACATCGTATCTGGGCACAGAGCAACCCTTTCACCGTCGTTTGTCGCGGAATGTTTTTACACACGCGTGCCACCGACCGCTAAACATGTCTCCACGTGCACGCTTTCTTTCTTTCTTTCTTTCTTTCTTTCTTTCTTTCTTTCTTTCTTTCTTTCTTTCTTTCTTTCTTTCTTTCTTTCTTTCTTTCTTTCTTTCTTTCTTTCTTTCTTTCTTTCTTTCTTTCTTTAAAAGTGCGCGTACGTTCACTTCGACTGCAGGGTCAAAGTATTATCGGGTCTACACCAGTATTGAGAAGGTAAGTCGAGGGGCATTACGATAAAATGGCGCTTGTGGATGTGTTGGCCCAATCCTATAAAAGGGAGCTCGTGGAGCGCCTCTCGTCGTCTGTTTTGAGATCACTGAGGATGTGCACCATGTCGATTGGTTTCGTCTTCGGGTTCGCCTTTCTCGCTGCCATCGCCACTGCGGTGCCTCTCGAACGCAGGCCGGAGCTCGGGCAATTTCAGGATGAAAGCAAGGTAGACCCGCATCATTCCTTTCGTAATTTACGAAGTTGCAAGCATGTTTAGGCAGCTCTTGGGCCAAACGCTTGTGAGCCTAAAGTCGCTTTTATATGCGCAAGACGGACATTTTGCTGGCTCATTGCACGTTTGTAAGATTACGTTTGTGTATAGCATGCATTCGAGTCGGTTTCGCATCGGCACGTACATAATGGTGGCTCCTCGCGTTGAGAAATGTGTCTAAAGCCAAAGGTTATCAGTATATTGATACAACCGTGTGATTTCACGAATCCACGTTTTTTTTGTATTCCAAATAGTTGACAGAACTATACTTTGCGTTTTTATAGACTATATATACCGGAGGTTCTCTTTAATATGCACACAAAGCTGAGTGGGGAAACGGTTTTTAATGCAGAAGCATTAGGAGTATAAAACTAAAAAAAAGTGTATCAGCATGAAGCCTACCCACATTCTCGCATAGCGTTACGTCAGCACTGTTGATAATTACGTTAATATAAGGTAATCAAGGCTAATTAGTGATAACGTCACTCACTTTCTTGGTATTTAGCGCGAAATCGAGACTGCATGTTTTCATTGCACTTTCCTCAAAGTTCGACGCTAAATAAGCCCACGACCTCATCATTTTCATTAGTACCACGCCGCCACGGTGATACGAATATACTGTATACGCGAAAAAAATCATTGGATGACACAAACACAGAAATAGGAAGATGATGGACCCACCTAGGCTAGTGCTAGTTTTTACACAGTATGAATAACCAACTCGTCAAAATTACCACTTCGACGGCTCCAGGAGCTCCAAATAAACCGGGCACTTTATATAAAATAATGACGCATATAATTAAGAAAAACGTATGCGCCAGGCATGTCGAAGTGGTACGGTATTTCTTCTGGGTCATATGCTGCATGTAACGATATGCTGTAGAATCCGTCAAGTCGTGTAATTTACAGAGATTGCTTTTAATTTACTTTTCAGTCAGTGACACCAGCTTAAAGTCTCGAAGGCGAAAGTTGTAGCATTCTTCTGAAAAGTCGGAATATTCCTTTCATGCTAACCTATAACATGCCAATTCGCCAAGCTGAGTAACTAACAACGATTGTCTAATCATACTCTTAATTGGCAAGTCCAGGAAAAATAATTTCAATGGAAGAAGTGTTGCACTTGTACTGAAGTGTCGGAATATTTCATCCATGCTGAACTAACTTCCAATTGGCCAATCTGTGTTTTGAACCGTTTAAAATAACTTGCAATAATATATAAAGAAAAATATTCCATAGAAAAGCTGTAATGTTTTTTTTCCAGCAACATGTATTCTTTCTAAGATATTTTTGCTAAGATAGATACCATGCATCACATATTCCAGCGTAGATGAAATCAAACTTCGCGCAAGTTATAGCTGCAATGCACTGCATATCTTGACGTGTGCAGCACATGCTTTATGTGCGCTGTTACCTGCATTTGCCTTCGGCTCACTTGGCACGCTACTGAATGCAGTGCTTCCCTTACGAGAAGCCCTGGTTCGCCATGCTGAGAAACTTCGAGAACGACCCATACGTCGGCGGCACTGCCAAGTGTATCCGGGTCACTCAGGCGGCTCCTCTCCAGGGTCACGTCACCGAAAACGTGGTCGAGTTCGGCCACACCCACAGAGCGTGAGCAGTCGCTTATCTCTACTCACTTTCCTACAAAAATGCCTGCACAAAATCGTGCAACGAACAACGCCCGCACTGGTCGCCGTGAAATATATCAATTTATACTGGCCCGTAGCCAGGAATTCTTATTCTCAGTTGGGAATGGGGTGCACTTGCTGAAGTTCTTAGCTACTCCCCCCTCCCCCCTCCATCAAAATTTTGTGGGAAGGGGAGAGGGGGGGAGGGGCTGCGCACCTAGCGCACTTTCCCCCTTGGGTGTGGGCTCTGTGAATATGACTATACAGCGAATGTTCTGGCAGGCAGCAATTTGTCAAGCGTGAGGCTTCGATTTACTCCGCATAGTTTGAACGTCGTCCCCCGTATTCTAGAAAGTCCTTTCACTCAACGTTCAACCTCGACCCGATGATAATGACGATAATCTTCATTTCTTAGCATCGTATTTGGAGCACTTTAGCGGTTACTAGTAACCCAGTCTGTTCGTTGCGATTGCGTTACTCTGTATAAGTCGCAATCTAGAATCCTGGAAATCCCTCTTTATTCTTGATACAAGCACGATATTCGTTCTTATGCTGCGTTGTTTCTAAGCCAGTTATATACAACCCAGCTGTTCTGTCAGGTGTCGTGTTTTGATTCGTGATCCGTGTTTTGATTCCGCGACGATATTCTGAACGTATCTTGTTTTGTAATACATCAGCATATTACCAGAGAACGTCTTTGATAGTGCCACCTCCTAAAGAAAATTACACATCAAAATAGCAATAATCGGCGAAAAAAGTTCACAAACGCGGCCTCACTTAAACAACAGTGCTGAACTAAATACGGTTACGTGAAACGGCAGGCCTTGCAGTAGAAAACGTTTAAGAGAATGTGGTGGTACGATTGAAATCGCATTCGCTGGTGCACCTGGCCGCTTTGAGTATCGGCGTTCGCCGTAACAGAGTATTCTCCAAAGTCATTACTGTTGTCTTTGCAGGAGAAACAGGCTCACATTGACCAACACTGAAGGATACCAGCACAAGAATGCACTGAACGTCACTTTCCTAGAAGGTGAGCACTCGCCCGTCTCGAATCTTGTGCTGCGCTGACAAATTATATAAGAGAAAGAAGTGTGTACCTAAGGGCTTGTTTTTCCGTGTTTTGACACAATATTAATGAGATCTAACAGACAATAATGCCAAGAAATGTATAGGCGAATTTCTAATAACTTCCCCTATACAGCCCTGGCATTAATGTCTGTTATATATATATATATATATATATATATATATATATATATATATATATATATATATATTAACAGATACTGCGTCAGTGCAGATGGAATGCAAAAGCAATCGCGGCGACAGTGTCTTGGAACAAAACAATAAAAAATAAAAACAAAAAACAACGTTTATCTGAACGATAATGTAACCTAAACATCATCTATCACTTTGTTCCGAAGTGAAAGCAAGATAAATTTTTACGGTTTAATGTTCAAAGAAACTGTTGTCAACCCGGAAGAACCAAGTTAGTGGACAACATGAACATTGTATCTCAGAGGGAGTTATTGGCGCGAAAATCAGTCAGGGTTTTCAAAGTAAAGATGTGTTGAAAATGCGCGAAAAACAAGCTAGAAAAGTGGCAACTGAAGATGTTCGTATTAACGCAAGTGGACCTTGGTGTGCCTGTCACACAGGCCGCCGTGAATAAGGCATTGTCGGCGCTGAAGCTTGCTGTATGAAAACAGCGGTCTCGGATACACACTCAATGACACGCTGCTTCCGAGATCACGCTCAATCCCTCAAGCAAGTAATTCAGCCTGCTCAGGGAAATTGCAATTAACCTGCGAGAAACACTGAGGTTCATATTTTCTATTTTTCTTTTGATTAATGAGTGCGGCGAATCTTCGTTTTTTGGTGCTAAGATTTCGAAGATATGCATCTTTTGATAAACTTTCAATTTTTTCGCGCTAATAAAAAAATGGTCGCACAGTTTTGTTTTTGTTTTCTTTTTGTTCCCGAACAAAAACATAGCGGCACTTTTTTCGGTGGAACGAAACTCAAACCGAAACGAGAGAAAGCGAGAATGAATGAAGGAAGGAAGGAATGAAGGAAGACAAGAGGGAGAAGGGAGAAAGGTTGACCAGGCAGCAGCTATGCTGGCTACCCTATGCCGGGGGAAAGGGACAGGGGATCAAAGCGAGAAGGAATATAAAATAAAGGTAGGGAGCCTGACTACACTGCGTCCGGTTTGCTATCCTACACGTGGGGAGAGGGGAGTAAAATATATAAAGACAAGGAGGTGCACATTGCAAATTACAAACACAGTGAAGGGGTTTCACAGGTGGTCGCTCAGTGACGTTGCCTTCAAGAATAGTAGATGGGCTCGTGTGGCTTTCTGGGTCACACGAAACGAAACTGAAACGAAAAAAAAAAATCGCAGCATATCCACGGAGTGAATGATAGTGAGCACTGTACGCTAAGAAATCTTACTGTACACGTGTGCGTGAGTGCACGCCTTTACGAGCGTGTACTTAAGCAGCGCACATTGTTTCGGTTTCATAACTGTGGTCCCTCTGGATTTTGCCGCCTTGTGCACAGGACCCGGAAAGGGATCGACCATTCAACTGTTCAACGCTTACTCCGACTGCGACAAGTGCAAGATATACAGGAACCCTTATGCCGGCGGTGAGTGCAGTAAAAACCTGCCAACTTCTCACAACGTTGCATTCCATTACTGCTCCTTGTCCTATTTGTCGTAACACGTTTTTTATGTCGTGGGCCAACACTTGGCCAAGAATGGACGTGGACTGCAGGTACAGGCAACTTAGTTTCACTTGTCAAATGTATCGCGGTCTCGATCTCTCTATCTCTAGCACGGAATGTTAGTAGATCTCGGAACCGCTTTTCAAGGATACACGCACGTTAGTTTTTAATGTGAAGTAATTATCAGTAACTAAACTGGGTTTTCTAGAGAATCAATCTTTCGGTAAGCACAAAAACATTTGCGAAACCACGTTATCTTTTTTGTTACCGATTAATCGTTTTTTTTTTTCTTAGCACGATCACTCTATAATACTACAGGCACAAAGCCAGAAAACAACTTTTTGCACGCATTTGACATTAAAGTATACAGCAAAAGTCAATCTGTCCCCTTCCTTTCGCGTGTGCGTCGTCGTAGTAACGGACATTCACGGAGTCGGTTTGTTGTTCTCTGCGCACACCTATTAATCGGTCGGCGAGAGCCGCGAGCCGGCGGGCACGCTCGCCCAACACCACCTATAGGCTAATAGACTCAGACTAATAGACATCAACTGTTGTCATCTGCCTCACGCGCCGGCAATGCGAAGGAAAAAGTGGACAGTGCGCCGCGACTTGCCACGCGGGGGCGCCGACGCACGAGACGCTTCCACAGCGTGCCTTCCGCGGTATATTTGAGACAAGCTGGGTTTAGTAGCGTGAACTATCGGGCTAGTTGATGAAACAAGTTTAGGTTTCGAAGAGCGAAATCTAAACGATGAAACACGTCGACGAGCGGTCCTCCTGTCTGTGCTCTGTTCTCGTCGACACGTTCCGTCGTCAGGTGGTCGCTCAGAACTTGGATAAAAAAAGCTCGACTTAACCACGTCCAACCACAAAATTTCAGAAGCGGAGCTGTTCAAGCTTGAGGTTTTGGCCGGCGTTTCAGGCAATTCGATGGGTATGCGCCACAGAAAGCAGGTGCAGGCCAAACAGCTCTTATAGCATAGCACAGCCATGCATATAGTACAGACCCATTCCATTGTTGTAAACAGGGGTAGGCGCCGTCGGCATACAGAGGCGCTTGTAGGGCCGTCGCGGCGCGTAGCCTCCGTCCACCTCCCGTCGACGCGTTGTGCTCGAAGGCAGCTTTGCAGCTGGTACAGGCTGCTTGATCATAGAGGGCGGTAGTGAGCTTTGAGCTGGGCGGAGCCTAAACGCCGCGACGTCACCACAAGCGCCTCGGTATGCCAACGGCGCCTACTATCCATGTTTATAAAAAGGAAGTCAGGCTGAGGAGGAGTGATGTAGAGTTGAAGACGATGCAGAGAAGGAGGAGAGAGGGTAAAACATGACAGTATTGTGTATCATAGTTTAGCAAGTATATAGGAGAGGGAAGTGGGGGTGAAGAGGACTGATGTACGAGTAAGGAGGAGGGTACACCATAGCGTATGGCTATATAGCCATGCACAGCATATACGACAGCAAGAGGTTGAAAAACGGCAATTGAGGGAGAGGAGAGTGTTGCAACGGTTCGGAGAAGAGAGAGAAGAAAAGAGGCCAACATAAATAGAGATAAAAAAGAAAACGACTTGAATGTGGAAAGCGATAAAGCGCCAAAGAAGAAATATCTTAATCAGCGTTCTCCGTGTGTTGAAGAACTGGTTTGTGCAGCTCCGCTGTTTACTCGGACTTGACAGGCTGGTTATACTTGCATTTTTTTTTCCTTGACATCGCAGAGAACGCCTGCACCCTCTTTGTGCCGGAGAGCCAAAAGAATCAGATCGACCCTTCGTGCCTGTTCATCTTCAACCTGCTCTGCGGAGGCGACAAGCACTATCTGCTGCTGGACGACAGCTGCACCTTCTGAGCCCTTCACCAGTCGAAGGAGCAATGTGGCTTGGTCACGCGGGCATTTATTTTTTTTTTTTTCTCGTCGAGCAGTACCGTCCACACATTGGGAGACCAAATGCACTTTCGTCTGGCATCAATTTGGCTGTTGTTTTATCAATCACAAGAGAAACCTATTTAGGATGACTGCCAGCTGGACATGCCGCATGTCGGTATACACTCATGATGAAAAAGCGCCAAAAAATACAAACACTGAGAAAGGACACAGTACGAGTACTTTCTAGCGACTTAAGTTGCCAGAACACTCAGAAAGGACACAGGACGAGCGCTTTCTATGAACTTCAGTTGCTAGAAAGCACTCGTCCTGTGTCCTTTCTGAGTTTTCGTACTTTTTGGTGCCTGTTTCTCAGTAAACTTAGAAAAAATTCATAGTAAACTTAGAATAGAACAGCTTCGATAATTCCGGTGGCCGCGCAACTGAAAAATTCAAAAAAAAAATGGCATTCACGTAATGATAAGTGCACGCTAAGAAAAGCCACATTGGACAGCTTCCACCTTTGAGTCAAATTAGACAAATGCACGTGGGACCGGTTAGATTATTGTTATGATCATACGTTATAAAACATTACCACCACCCTCTTCTACCATTCTCACTGTCACATTTCTTTTCCCTCTTTATCTCCTGCGACCCTAGATTAGTCGGCAGGTATATCTATAGCCACAGAGAACACTTTAACTTGTGCGCAAACCTTACACGCTCGCTTATTGTAGTTGCCACCAAAGTTACGCAGTCGTGAAACAGCTGGTCTGCTTGTGCTTTGTTCTTTTTTTTTCTGCGTATGCGAAGATTTATTTTCTCAAGCTTCGTTGCGCAAACGCTACTGTCTGCGACATGAAGTAAACAAATGGATCAATGATTAGTATGTGTCATTACCGTTCTGTCACATTGAGTGAACTGTCTATAGTTTAGAACCAGCTTCGATTTTAAGTCCATCCAGCGTATCCAGAATTTTATTTGAACTGGCTGCGTTGGTTACCCAGCCACCGCCTTTGTCATGAAGTGGAATCATTACAACAATGTGAGCGAAACGCCTGAGCTTACCTGGGACGAAGCTTCATGACGTTTCTTCACTTCGGTTCAAGCCACAGTCGTGAAATTCAGTCTAGTCGTTTGTGCGATCATTGAGACCCAGCTCTCCTCTGTTGTCAACGCTAAGCAGCAGCACAGGTACACACACAAGAATCCAAAGCACTATGATCATCATCACCATTGTCAGCCTGACTACGTCCACTGCAGGACAAAGGCCTCTCCCATGTTCCGCCAGTCAACGCAAAGCACTGTACTATACTCCTAACAAAAATCCATTCACCAGAGCAACACCACCAGTTATCTGAAACTGGTGTGCACTGTGATCACCGAATGGGCAAAGGCTCATAGTGAACTTGTAGCATTAATTCAATATATCGTGTTCATGTGACAGCGCTGACGCCTAGCAAAATGACGCTGAAAATTCCGGCGGCATAACGCAACGTTTCCGATGTCGCGGTCGATGTGGGTGTATAGTTTTCCATATACCGGAAACGAAATGTTTCGAGCATACATGAAAACTGACAGAATTCCCACAGTGATAACCTGGCAAATACCAACATCGAATGAGGTCGGGTTATCAGTTGATCCTGAGATAAGTTGGCGCATGAAAAAAAGTATACACCAAAAAACGAACAGATTATTTCGTGCCCACGTGAATGGTGGCATCATCTTGCAGATTATTTTTAACGCGCAGTACAATCTTATCAGCACCGCATCGAACGTGTGCACGAGAAAGAGAGCTGAATCGCAGCGAGTTCGGCTGGGGCTATGCAGCTGATAATCTGTGACGTTTCAGCTTTGTGTTTATTTCCTCCTGCATTTATGACAGTGTAGAAAAAATTGACCGCCACACAACCCTGCGAATGTGAATTTCCAGTGAAGCTCAATCAAACATCCCTCATGCTGTATGATCGGAGGCGCGTATTTGTTATGATTACTTTTATTATTACTTTAGAACAATGCTAGTGCTAATCGCTTTGTGGTCGCCGCAGTTGACCGTGATTGGTTCCGCTAACATTTTTTGGCAACACGAACTTTTTCGTCGTCAAGCATTGTATTCATGCCGTTCTTCGGCGACGTAATTCACAAGACTTGTCTTCCTTAGGTGCGCTTCACTAATTATATGTCTCGCGTCGTGATTGCCTGAAATGTTTTCGTACGCAATTTTTAGTGTATATGAGGTGTTTTTTGCGAATACGGACCCTGGTGTCTTTAATTTTAGTGGTCTATCAATGGCAGCCTTATAATGAACTGAACTAGTTGCTAGATTAATATTCCTGCCGCATATTACAGCGGGAAACATACGCTAAGAGAAGAAAAAAACCGTTTGACGTCATTCGAAGCACACGTGTGAAGCGCAAAGCAGTAGCAACCTAATCTTTACAAAAAACGGGTAGGAGGTTGTTTCGATATTTTACAGGCTCCTTATCCAGCATGCGATCCTGGTGTTTGTTTTGTTGTTTCTTTTTTTCAATTGAAACTAATACTGAAACACCAAGCTATAAGCTGTATGCCTGATATCAAAGAAAGATATGCTGTTTGCTTGCAATTATTAAAGGGTCACTAATTGACTCAATTAAAGGTCGAAATTTAGTTGTGTTGCAGTTAGGCACGAGCCTACAGCCACGGCCGTTTTTTTTTTTTTTTTCCTCCAGAGGCCGTGCTATACCGCGATTGCGTATGTCGGCTCGTCTGTCCAGTGATACGAATGGCCTCCCTCAGCGTCTCGGGTTTTGATTTATTTGTGGGTTTTTAACGTCCCAAAACCACCATATGATTATGAGAGACGCCGTATAGTGGAGGACTCCGGAAATTTTGACCACCTGGGGTTCTTTAACGTGCACCCAAATCTGAGCACACGGGCCTACAACATTACCGCCTCCATCGGAAATGCAGCCGCCGCAGCCGGGATTTGATCCCGCGACCTGCGGGTCAGCAGCCGGATACCTTAGCCACTAGACCACCGCGGCGGGGCCTCAGCGTCTCGGGTGAAAACGAAAGAAGCGCGCACATTATAGCAGGGCAGCACACGAGCGCGATTGTCTGTAGGTGGTTTAGGGGGTCTGGTGTTCGATTTTTAGACCACGGCAACGAAACCATTCTGGGGTAGAGGCACGGCCATGGTAGAGGAATGCATCTTTGCCGAACCACAGGACCCATAGGTGTTAGCTTACCTGGGAAGTAACGGAGGCGGTTGGTGCCACTGCTTAATTATTGGTGCGTTTTCAACCACAAGCGGTGATTTCTTGGCTTTAACCGGCAGTGGTTAACGTAACAATGGAGCAATATTCGGGATTTTTAACACGTTATCTGAACATCTGCCACATCGGGTAAATTGTTCTTTATGTTAAGAGATTGATATTAAATGATTCCCAGCTTATAAGTCTCTACAGCCACTTGTGACTGCAGACAATCTAAGTACAGGAAACGTAAACAAGTTCAGGGGCGTATACATATAGCTCAGGTGTTGGAGTCACTCCTGGCCAATGTTCGACGCAAGCCTCGCGCTTGTGCCACAGCACCAGTACAGTCGCGCGGGCACCTCGTTGTTGTCGTCTTCTAAGGCGACACGTCACCAGCCATATTTGTCGTGCTTGCTTATTTGTTTGCTCGTTTCCCTAGCTAAATGACACGTACCTACTTTGGGGGATTGGCCATTAATGCAACATTGAGACTGTTAGTGTTGTTTTAGTAAAGCTATGAAATTAAAAATCAAAAATAAATAAATTAAATGGGAATAATACGCAAAATATTCAATTTCCCTACAAATTATATGCTTTTGAGCTTGTATTCCATACTACCGTATTAACCTGATGTGAACAATTTTGAATACTTAGATGTTAACTTAATGAAATGACGAATAATGCTTTTCGCCGTTTCGTGCAACTGACAAACGCGATCTCGTGGAAGGCCATCATCATCGCTCCCTTCGCACGTAGCGCGAGCTTCAACGGCTCCCAGCTCGTTCCATGCCTCGATGTCCTTCGGATCGTCCGTTCTGCGCCCTCTGAAAAGCTAGGCAAGCTCCTTCGCACACTCAAGAGTAGTTCGTAATAAGTGCGAGGCTTTCCGTTCCAGCTAGAAAGGAAGAGAGACAGGAGTAAGATCCCAGTCGCCATTACGAGCCGCTATCTTATTCGCACCGATCTTCAAGAGCGCTCCCAAGCTGAGCAGCTGGTGGGGAAAAGGCAGGACTGACGTCAGCCATGGACAACCGGACCATCAATAGGCCTTTCTCGTACCTTCGGCCGAACATGCCAGTCCGGCCACTGGGAGCCGCCGTGTTGCCCAGCGGCCAGTACTTGCCACAGCCAGGCTACGTGTACAGCGCCGAGACGCCGCAGAGAGAGTCGGGAGCAGCCGTCCCTAGTGAGCAGTACGCTACGAGTCCGTCTCATCGAGCCATCGTCGGCAATACCGGGGCCACGACGCAGCCACAGCAGGCTCCTAAAGCTCCAGCAGCAAATGTCCCGTCTACCAAAACGTCCGCCATCGGGGGCTCAGCGCCCCGTTCGAAAGTCGTGCGGTCGTTCAGCGACCCGGCGACCACCGGACGCGTCGCAGCCCTGGCGGAGAAGCTCACCGCGAGCCGAGTGTCTCCGTTCGGCAGCTTCTCGACGCTAATGACGGCGAGCGGATCGTCGAGCAGTTCTTCGTCCTCCGAGGAAAAGGGGCTCGAGGAAGAGGACGACGAATACGCCGGCACGGAGGTGACAGACGAGGCCCCGTCCGGCAGCACTGCCCCGAAGTTCGACGGCAACCGCGATGCGTCCTTCGTGCTTCCAAAAAGGTGGAAGGATCTAAACTTCAAGGAACTGAGCGCGCAGACTGTGATACTGGCTGCCATCTTCGCGCTGATTGTCAGCTTTGTGGCGATGATGGTCATCGAGGTTTTTCCAGAGACTCGAGATCATCACCATCACCACAGCGAGACTCAACAGTTGGCGGAGACGACCGGAGAGCCACCTGCGGCGAAGGGCGGAGGTAGCGTCGTCGCGCAGGGCCGAGCGGCTACGTCCGTGGCGACTTCTATTCCGACGTCGACCTC